TATATATATATATATAATTTTACAATATATAATTTTACATTTATATTATTTTTGTTATTCATTTATATATGTATTTTTGCATAAGTACATATTTACATTTTATAAATAATCATACACATTTTAATACTTTAAGTGTTATTTTGTATTTTATACATATAGAATTGCATTTAATTTATATTATTTTAATTAAAATTAATGTAAGTGTGTGTGTGTGTGTGTGTGTATATATATATATATGTATATATTCATTCTATTATAGAATAGATATACAGTAATATAAGATAAAGAAAAAAGATTGAAATACTGACAATTAACAACTGGAACTCAAATTATTTTATGACATTTGTTTATGAACATTAAATTTGGGTTGTTACTAAAAAACTTTGATGGTGTTTTTTTTCTGCCACTCTTGAGACTCTGAATTTACAAGAAATTCTATTGTAGAAATTACATAACTTGTAGTCTGAACTGAATTAATGAATTAATGACTTTTATTAACTATATGACAGAAACAGTCATGAACTCCCTGTGAATTTTTATGAAATATAAAAAAACAATCAATACAACATTACATTCAAATATGAAATATAATATTCATGTGAAATAATAACATATAATAAATCATTAAGTGTAATATTATATAAAATAATACATTAAATCATATTTAATAATAACATATTATTGATATAAATACAAAAATATTCTATAATTTAGCATACAAATTTCCCAATATTTAAATATTAGATTTTTAACTACATTTATCATGTTAAAATCCATTTACATGTTTGGAATTTCACATATTTCCATAAATCTGTGGAAAGTGTAAAAACGGATTCCTCGACTTGAATCAGTCTGACAAACCTTTTCTGACTCTCTAACACTGGTACTAAACACCTGTTGGAACTTATCAAAAGTACTAAAAGAATCATTAAACGAATCATTAATGAACTAGAACCTTTAAGTGGAACTGGAATCTGAATGATTCCCTGCTGGAGCTCTGTCCTGATCTGGCAGTAATATGCGACGCGCGTTTCCTCTCTATCGCTGTCCACTATGCGGCGTCTATTTCTAATATCGAGGGCATGCGAGACTTGATGGAAGACGCTTGGGAGCAGGACACACTTACAGTCCTCTGTGCTCTGTGGCAATGCGGCGAGGTTCACAGGACACACGTACACACTCCAGGATGATTCAGCACTCAAACCCACATGCATACGGGACCCTTCGTACATTGTTAGCATCATTAGTAGACACATGGATATGAAGTTAAATGAGTCTGTATCTACAAGCCATCTACGGTTAACGTCTGAGATGGACTGACGGCGGAAGTCTTTCGGAAAGAAAAACAAATGATGTGCCATTTGAGTTAGAGGGTGCCATCTCCGAAATGTCATACCCGGAGAGACGGATCAGAGATGTTGAAACCCCCCCAAAAAACAGAAGAAGAAACAGAAATAATCCCCACGCAGCTGTTGCCATCCCACAACCAGTGCACAGCACAGGATGCACACACAAACACACACACACACACACACAGCACATCCGATAACTCGCTCTCCACCCGCACAACCCCACAGTGTGTGAGAGTGTGAATATGTGTGTGTGTGTGAGCACCGGGGGAGGCTGGCTTTCAGGGTGGACGGTTACCTGGCTCTATTTCATGCCAGCTGCTGGCTTGGCTGCCGCTTCCAGGCGAGCGTCCCTGACCTGGGTAGTAGGACTCCTCTCCCGGGCTGTCCACCTCATCCTCCATGCATTTGATACGCTTTGCAGAACTGTGCGACAAAAGACAGATAGAAAGAGGGTGGATGAGTAAAATCGAACACATTTCATTCTGCAAATGTATGTTTTTTTTCTCCCAGCATTAGGGCTGGGCGATATGTGTCAAAAATATCTTATCTATAATCGCCTTTGAAAATATCGTTATATCCGATAATATCGTCTACGTAAGCCCCACCTCCACCACGCCCCGCCAAGACAACATTGCCGACATGCACCATAAACACACACCATGTTCAGTTTGGTCTTAATTATTTCCCCACGCAGCTGTTGCCATCCCACAACCAGTGCACAGCACAGGATGCACACACAAACACACACACACACACACACAGCACATCCGATAACTCGCTCTCCACCCGCACAACCCCACAGTGTGTGAGAGTGTGAATGTGTGTGTGAGCGCCGGGGGAGGCTGGCTTTCAGGGTGGACAGTTACCTGGCTCTACTTCATGCCAGCTGCTGGCTTGGCTGCCGCTTCCAGGCGAGCGTCCCTGACCTGGGTAGTAGGACTCCTCTCCCGGGCTGTCCACCTCATCCTCCATGCATTTGATACGCTTTGCAGAACTGTGCGACAAAAGACAGATAGAAAGAGGGTGGATGAGTAAAATCGAACACATTTCATTCTGCAAATATATGTTTTTTTTCTCCCAGCATTAGGGCTGGGCGATATGTGTCAAAAATATCTTATCTATAATCGCCTTTGAAAATATCGCTATATCCGATAATATCGTCTACGTAAGCCCCACCTCCACCACGCCCCGCCAAGACAACATTGCCGACATGCACCATAAACACACACCATGTTCAGTTTGGTCTTAATTATTGCCACAAAGTTTGGTTTTACTTTTCTTAGTTTGGGCTTAAACTAAAATAAAACATTAGCTTTGCTGTTATTTTGGTGTTGCGAATAATTTCCACTCTGTTCTTATCAAATTTGTGTTTGAAATGAATTTCGTTTTGTGAGGAGAACTGTTGAGGAAAAATAATAGAACCCAATTTTAAGTTCATCATGGTGAAGTTGGACATTCTGGCGTTGATTGTAAGAACGATAAATGCATGTTGATGTCATATAGTATTTTCTTTAATAAAATATGCCTATTTGCCTGTGTAGACATTTCATGATGGTAAGTTTAATTTCCTTAATTATAACAATTGCAGCGTTGTTTTTAAACTTGTAGTCAAGCTGTAACGTATTTGATATTTATCATGTATGACTAAAATCATGCAGGGATTAAAAACGAATTCTGAGTAAAAACTAATTCTATCTTTCTTGTAGCCTACTAGTTCGGAGGTCTCTTTTGGCCCATTTTTAACGAAATAAAAATAACTGCTTTATTTATTTAGAAGCAGGGTAATTTAAATTTCATTTTTGTATAGTAATTTTTATCATTTTTATTTTATTAATCAAAATACAACGCCCACAAAATAATATTCAGTCTTGGGCTGCCGAATCTCCGAACGCGTGCATGTTGAGGGGCGAGCTGAGATATAGTACTATAATGTCTTCAGCCGTTTGCAACAAAACTTTATAGTAAACATATATTTTAATCTAAAAACATCTAAAAAAAACATGTATTTTATTAAAAAGATCAATAAATGTGTTAAAATGTCTTTTAACAAATTAAATAATAAAATATATGAAAATAAACTAATATCAATAAATATAAAATGCATATATAAAAATACAAAATACACAAATTCTGCCATACTAAAAACACATCTTTTATTTAAAAAAATCTATATATATTTTAAAATGTTTTAATGAATTAAATCATAAAATATATGAAAATAAATATCAATAAATACTATCTATAAATAATTGTTTAAAATTTTAGAAATGAATTCATTCATTTATTTTACATTTTGTGATATGTATTTATTACAATATTTCATGAAATGTGTATATGATAGATAGATAGATAGAGATTTATTAATATAGCTCTAAAATTAAATAAATCAATGAAATCAATCAATAAATAACTAATTAACTGGACTTGATATAAATATACAATAAGATTGATATAAATGAATACGTAATGAATTACTTATTTACTTATCTTTATCAGTGGAAAAGTTATCTCAGAGGAGAAGAAAGTTATTATATTTTGGTACAAAATTATGAAAAACGTATTTTTAGAGTAATTAAAGACATTTTAAGTTAAATAGTACATTTTGATTTTCATATGGACTATACAACATATTTATTCAAGTCGAAAAAGGTGGACAGCAAAGATGTGTGCAAGCTTATTCAAACACACACACACAGACATACTACAATCTAACACACACACTGAAGAAGTGAGTCATTGGAGGCTGGCGGTCATGTGTGTGTGAGTTATCTGCTGTAAGCTGAGCTCTGACATTTATTTGTTAATGTAAGGCCTACTGGTGTTTTTCACTCATAATCGCTTAATTAGTTTCTAGCATGCAGCCACACACAGGGTCCTTATTCCAGATGTTTGCTTTGGCAGGCCTGGCTGAAGAGGCCACTGAAGCATGTGGGCAGACGCACACATGTACACACACACAGATGTATTTGACCGCATACACATGCTCTCCAAAGCTAGTGAGCTAGAGCTCTAAACTACATTTTTGTGCATCAAAAGCACCTATGATGTCCAAAAATACTCATTCTGCCATATTCAACAAATTTGTTTAACATACACATGATGATTGTTGTATTTTCAAATGCACATGTTAAATATTAGCGCAAATGTTTATGTACGTTTGTATGTGTGTGGATCTTAGGTATGCTGCGTTATGTAAAAGTGACAGCGAAATTTGGCCCATCAGTGAATTCACAGAGACCATTTATATGTTGCATTTCAGCTGTGCACTCACACACATCCTAACATACACACATCTGTCCACACACACAGGTTGCCACGCAGTGCGGTTTTACATGGGGGAGCAGTATGTGTATGCGACTGGCCTGTAGGCTGAGCGGGTGGCAGAGGGAGAAGGTTTCCAGGTGGACACACATATGCTGGAAGCTTGTGTAGCTCAGACTCCTGCAGCCTCTTCGAACGCTCAGCCAACACATCAATCTCTGCCTCGGCTGATTAATTAAGACTCAGAGTTGAGGAGAGAGAGTGTGTGCGTGTGTGTCTTTCCAGTGCATACCTGCTAGAAGAAGTGCTGGGTAGGGGGCGCCTCATGGCCCCAGGGCTCATACTGTAGTAGGAAGAGCTGTCCAAGTCTGCCAATGAAAAGTTGGGCCCCGTTCCTGCCGCGATGGGGGCTGCCACACACAGAAAAGAGAACAAATATCAATACCTGAGAACAAAAACAGTCTTAAGCATCACATTTTGAAGAAGTTCATCTTCATTTTCATGGCTGAAGTACAAGTAAAGTTTGAGTTGGTTCACTTGACTGCTTTGGCTGTTTAACAAGCTCACTTTTTAATTTGAAAACAGCAATAAAATCTGACAACTGTATCATAAACATTGCTGATTTAGCTCACACTATACACATTTTCATGTTAGTCCAGCAAAAAAAAAAAATAGAACAATAGAATGATAAATAAAAATATAAAATGATAGATAGATAGATAGATAGATAGATAAAAAGATAGAACGATAGATAGAACGATAGATAGACAGATAGATAAAAAAGCTAATATTATGTACAATTCTTCTTCCTGTCATTCAAATTCTACTTCCTGTTGGGTGTATTCAATTCAATTCAATTCAACCTTTTTATTTTTTCAACAAAAGAAAAAAATAAGTTAACTGGTATTTGTTTATCTTACTGAAACACTTGTGCTGGTAACAAAACTTTCCTCCCTGAGCGAGTCGCCTCAAGCTGCAAATCCGACCGTGCCCCTTTCTGTAGGTCATCGGTGAGCAATGCTCTATCAAACGCCTTTGTCATACAGTACATAAAGCCGTGATGCCTCTTTATATTCATGGTGACTGAGACCACTATTTTTTGATGAGGACAGCACGAATGTGTAAGAGAGCGGCCCTGGTCCTGCATACCTAATAGGCCGGGCCCAAGCGGAGAGAGAGAGAGATGTATGTGGGGGTGGGGGGGTGGATTTGGGCGGACGACAGCGTGGAAGATTGTGATAGACACGGTAATGGGCTGCCTAATTAACATTGGAAGAGGACACGGCTAAAGGGGCAAGTTGGACCAAGGGAGAGCCAGTGCACTAGCCAACAGCTAAAAGTTGGACACGTAGGAAGTGAGAAAGGAAGTGCTATAATTTCTGAGTCATCTCTTAATGTTAACTTTTTTTTGGAGGGGGGTGGGCGGTCCTTCGCTCTAATAGAAGTGACAGTGCGGGTTATTTATGACGAGCAGTAAAGCCGGCTGCATTTGCATGGCTAATAGTAGGATGTGAAGTAATTTGTGTGAGAGCTAACCTGGGCACCGGGCTGCAGTAACTCAGCCGGCCCTCGATGCGCACACACATACACACAAATGTGCCCTCGCGCTGAGAGCGGCCGGCCCTGCTGCTGCAGTTTGGGTAGAAAAATGACCACACTGCAGTCTGTCTGACTGGAATGGAAATCAATCATAAAGGTAATCTGCAGTCTCTACCTCTTAAAGGCTTTATCAAGTGCTTTCGCTTGGAGGATTCCAAATGAAGCCTGTGGCTATCAGGCCGGCATTGATCTCTCTCTCTCTTCTCTCCTTACCCTTCTGTTCTCTCTCTCTCTGATCTTTACTGCTTTACCTTTCAAGTTGCTGGGTGCAAAGTACATTAGCAAAATGTTTCAATCTATTCTACTTACTTAGTGCAGAGGAATGGCAGTGCAGCCAGTGGGTTTACTTATCTGTTCAGCTGGGACAAAAAATGGGTCGCATTTCAAGTTAGCTAAACCTGACAAAAGTGGTTAACTTAATTAGTTGACTGCAAAAGAAATTTGCCTAAAAATAGTCAAAAACAACATAACATTTTAAAAAATGTATATCTCCAATATTGACCGTTAACTGACGTGGTACCGATATATAGTCCATCGCTGCAATTTAACCCTCTGGGGTCAAAGTCCGCACTGGTGTGTTTTGTCACTTTGTTTTCTTGATGACTGCGAAAAGAACTAAAAATACTCTGTCATCTTCTAAACATATAGTAAGTTTTGTAGAAAGCAAGGTAAAAGTTTTGTAAAAGAGAACCAGGCAAACAGGTTTCAGACTAGAGGCCGGCAAGTTACGGTAAGTTTGTTGTCAGACAGCAAAGTGACCGAGTCTACTGGATGTGTTGGAGGTTTTTTGATGTAGTCTCTTGTCTCAAGGGTTGACAATCCCTCTTAACATACACACACACAGACATACTCCTCCCCTTCACCCAAACACTGGCCGCTAAAGCATCTACAAAAGATGGGGAGGCTATTCATTTGAAAAGAGCAGGGGGAGGAGGAAGAGAAAGAGAGAGGAGAAAAAAAATTGGCTTTTGTTCAGGCCGGATTTTCAAATTGAAGCATTTGACAACAAAGGCAGCAGCAATCAACTTCAAAACCCTGGACGTCTGTTCACCCCGTCTTCCCCCCGCCTTACTCCTCATCGCTTTATTGAGCGAGAGGACCATGGCGTGATGGGATCTCATCTAGAGCTGGTCTGAAGTTGGTGAGCTTTGACAGGTCTTCGTTGGGGTTTTCTGCTGGATCAGCTCCTGTGAGGATATAGACCTACAGCATAGGTCCAGATTTCTCAGTCTGGAGAAGAGGGTTCGCATGGGGCTAGACCTTACACCTTCATTGTGTAGTTTCCCATCAAGCCAAATGAGAAGAGAAGGCAGAAGGAACTTCGCTGGTGAAGTCCGCATGTCGGTGTCCAGTTGAGGAAGGTCATGGAGTAGTCCTGGACTCAGCATATTACTACTCCTGGTAAAAACACTGTGAAGAAGAGCTGATAATCAGCAGGTTGCTGGTTTACCACCTTGCCGGTTTGACTTGAAGAATTAGTTCACCCAAAAATCACATAATTTCCTCACCTTTCTTTCAAGTCATTCCAAACCTGTAGCTGGATGAAAAACTAGACATTTCTTCAGCATATCTTTTTTGGTGTTCTACAGAAGGAACAAATGTTTGGATTGACACAAGCATGAGGAAATTTTAACAAAATCAACATATTGGTGGCATTCCTACTTTTACAGCATTTGTATTTTTATTATAGTGAAAATGTAGGCCATTTTATGGCAAGCTACTGTTGATAAGATTCAAGCCTCATGTGTGCATTTCACTGCAGATGGCACTGCCCACTGGCAGGCTTTGGCCCAGTGTTGGCACAGTGTTGACAAGACTGGTGGGCGTAACCCCACCAGTGCTGCTCGGCAGTGTCTCTGCCACAGCGGCCTGCTCTCCTACTCCATAATTCATCCGCTCCCCCTGTTCGGTCATATGGCTAAAAGGTGCGTGCCAGTGCCCGGCCTTCACCCAGGGATTTCCAGGTGTCCCTGCCCCTGGATCACGCTGCCTTGCTGCTTGCCAACATTTCTGCGAGGCTCTTGCAGGTGGACTAATAACAATAACCTCATCCTAATCCTGTATCCTCTCCTGTCTCTTCTGTAGCCCTCGCAATCTCCTCTGGAGAGGCTCTGAGTGGGCGGCAGCAACAGAAAAACTGGCTCACGTACAAGTCCTCTTGCTCACCTGAGTTTGATGGCGTGCCAAGCTGTGGCGTGACAGTGTCCAACTTCATACGGGGGCCAGCTGTAGAGAAAAACAAACTCGTGGCTCTTCCCGGGAACGTTTAAGAACCCTGCAGGACTCGAGAAGGTAGAAGAGAATAGCTGATGAAGGAGGAGCAGGGGAGGGAGGAGGATATGGAAAGGCGGACCCAATCTCCGAAATTACCCCAGCTTGGTATCGACTGGCCAATTATGTTGAGTTCCATTTACAAAAATTTAGCTGTAGCGGCTAACTTTATGGAGACTTTCATTTCGCTCTCCCCCACTACCAACAGCCCCTCCTCCTCTCTCTCGTTCTCTTCCTCTCCTTTTTTGTGTGGTGCTTTAATAGGATATTGATCGACAGAAGCAGATTCGATTGGGCTGCCACTGAATTGTGTAATGGGTGCACAAAGCCAAGGTCATAGTGTATAGTCAGGGAAGAGCTAAGGCAGCCCGTTGTCCATTCAATATCACGACCTTTCATCTTCCGAACGGGCACGAGCCTGCACTCAACCCCTTAAATAAATCTGCCAGACGCTCCCACACAGAAGCTCCATCGGAACTCCTCTGGGCAATTCATACGCCACTTCAGTACACCAGATTACCCTCTTCTACCCATCTGCCAATCAACATCTCGGTGCCTTCCACAAGAAGCTACCAAAGTCATGAGTGTGCATGCATACAGCACTTTAATTCACAGTCACTCTATAGGGAGCAATCCTGTTAGAGGACTTATGCTAACTGTGGGCTTTGCTGACTGCTGAACTTCTTAGATTGTATTGCCCATTAAGGAAGGAAAGTGGTTGACGCAGGAGGGTGAGATTCTGTCAACTCTCCGTTGCGTAGAGAGTGGAAGACGAGGTGAAGGAGTTTTAAAGATGCCCCGCCAGGTGATCAGTGGACTATTGTTGCGGATTATTGCAAAATTCAGAATTGAAGAACTGGCTCAATTTCAATTCATGAGTGTGAATTTGAATGAATTGGCCAAGTCTCAGAAACTTGAATTGGGGATTTATAGAATTGAAAGATATTCAACAAAGGAGATGCATTCTGGAAAATCTATCTATCTAGACATTTTTAAAACTTTCAAGCAAGCCAGCATTCAAAGTTTGTGTTGAGAACTTTTGCAGAAAGGGTAAACATCACTAAAATCCTCTTCCTGTTCAACTTCCGTTGGGGCTCAAGAGTAATATGCTCTACAGACCAACAAAACCCCCTGCCGACTAAGAGCCACTGGACTGTGGAGAGGAGAGAAGAATAAAGAGAACGATAGAAAAAAGAGAGCAGAACACTTTGATTTGAATTGAACATCCAGCATATGCCACCCAGCATTTGCTTTTCTTCTCAGTGTGTCACAGATGTTAGGATAAAAGCCGATCTCTCCATAGGGCTGGATCAATTATGCATATTCCTTAATCTTGTTACCATCATACGCCAGGAGTTCTGATGCAGCACAGTACTGGCTGAGTTTTAATATCTCTGTCTTCCTCTCTCTCCTGATAACTTTCATCATTTTCCGCATTCGTTTGCATCGCCTCACACATGCATGCTGGACTCACATTGACCTGTAAGTTTCCTTCCGCCCGTCTGCTGTCACGTCGCCAGAATGTGGTGGCACCCAAATGTTTGTTCTCTCCAGACGCTGTCTTTGCATTGGCAGGCACTTTGAGGGTTTTTGAAGGCAGACTGCGAGGTGAGACCACGGTGGGCTCTTTGCCCAGGCCCCATGACACCCTCTTCTCCTCTCCTTCGCCTGGGATTAGGTCACGAAGGCGTATGATCAATGCACCTTTGATCAGAAGGCTCCAGCGAGTGCTGACAGGCGCTTTGGATCGGCTATTGTTAGCGGGTATCGACAGGCACGTATGGATCGCGCTGCGCTGTGTCACTCTCCACCGTGAACGTATGCAATTTTTAAAGGTCACGTTTTTTACTCCCATCCCATCCTCCCAGCCTCCTCTGGAAAGTCTACTTTTCTTCTTCTGCATTCTGCCTTATTGCTCTATCAATCTGGGAATGACTCGATTGTTTCCTCAAGTTGTGAAAATTCTCGCTATCTTCTCTTTATTAATAAATTTGAACACCAAACATTTAACTTCTGTAAAACTGCATCTGCAATAAAAGTACAACTTATTTAGGGAAAACAGCTTATAAAAGAAACACTGTCTAAAAAAGACTGCACAAAAAAACTTTAGAGAGTACAAGTACTGTTGAACCGCACTGCAATGAAGCACTTTCAGCTGACTGCTGCATTTCGCTGGCGTTTCGATTTCTAATGAGTGGAGGGATAGTGGATCCAGCCCATTGTTCTGAAAACAACACTGAGAAACCAGAGAAGCTTTCCTCCAGCACACTGGTTAATCACTAGCTTCATCCTACCTTTGGGCTGAATTTAAGGTGCTTGAACTAGGATGCTTCAGATGTTGCATTTTTTTTGTGCTGCTGGCCTTTATATACTAGGGTGTAACAAGTCTAAGAAAACTTATGGCACTAAATCATGCCACGTTTAAGGTTGTGTAAGGGTCACAATTTTAAACGTGGATCGTAAGAAATCTTTAAATGACGATACATTTATATGAGAATCAACACTGCATATTAAGTCTTGTTTTCAAATAATGTATCATTAATATATATATCGGCCAGTGACACTATTAATTTTTGTTAATAAAAAAGTTATGTAACATTAAGTTAATGTTAAGTTAAATAACGAAATATTACTTAATAAATATATATTTTTAGGGGGAGTTGCATCACATTACGTTTATTTTATTCAGAATTTAAAAATATGTTCATCATTTATTAACTGCATTTTTAATGTATTTTTGGTGTCATGTCATTGACCCATATTTATAAAACTACACTCATATTAAAGACATACTGAATGGAAAAAGGTATTAATATCTCATGCATTTTGCATGTTGCTTCTTGACTAAATTTATCCCGTTTTAAGGACTTTCTGATAACTGTAAAATAAGCCCAAAAAGTTTTTTGCAGTGGGCAGGGAGTTGTAGAGATCTTACTCTGTGAGACTCGCACAAGCTCAGAGACGGTGAAGACACCTGATGTGACGAAACTGTCCTGGAAGCCAAGGTGCCCTAAAAGAAAAAAAGAAAAAAAAAAGAGTAGAAAAACTGTTATTGGAATGAACATGACAAAATACAGAGGAATGGCAGTGTTTATGTCAACAACACACTCACACACACACACACAGTCCCAGTGGGGAAGGGAATAGGGAGTATTTAGAGTGACACTGAGGGTAGAGAACATCTGGATTTGGTCCCATGAGTGTCTGCAGTACTGTGGGGCAGAGGCTCTTTGCAGTGCGGCGCACACACATAAACAAGGAGCTACATAGGAAAGCATGATTATATGTTTTTACATATGATGTGTGGTGAAATTTCAGTCTAACACATTCTTTGTGCGGCAGGCAGAAATCAGTTGCCTCTTCCAGCAGACAGACAGACCACAATTACTGTGTTCATTGTGCTGACTACAGCTGACCCAGGATCTGCCACACAGATGAGCCCATATCAGCCTCAGATTCAACTACAGACAACCAGACGTCCCTAAACTTACTACCATCCAACACCACAGAATCAAAACATGCAGTCAGTGTGGACTGCATTTCCCATTATTGGCCTTGCTCTTACATATTGTGTGAAAAACTGCTGATATGGCAAGATTAATCATCACAAGTTAGACATAATCTTATGATATGGTACATACAGAATGCACTAGTTTAGAAGTTAAAGGGGTCATATGATGCGATTAAAATTTTTCCTTTCTCTTTGGAGTGTTGCAAGCTCTTGGTGCATAAAGAAGATCTGTAAAGTTGCAAAGACTAAAGTCTCAAATCCAAAGAGATATTCTTTATAAAAGTTAAAAAGTCAGCTACGCCTACCTAAAACGGCTCGTTCTAACACGCCCCCCCATATGTGACAGGGCATCATCACAGTATGGTGAGGGGCGTAACATTTCCGTCTCACGCTTGAGGTATTCGGCCAATCATAACGCACTGGATAGCTGGCCAATCACAGCACACCTTCCTTTTCAGACCGATGAGGTTTGTAAAAATTGACGCGTTTCAGAAAGGCGGGGCATAGAGGAGAAACAATAATGTACAGTATGTGGAAAATAATGTGTTTTTTTAACCTTAAACCGCATATACACATTTCATTAGACCAAATACACAAAATAATGTTCTTTTTAGCATCATCATATGACCCCTTTAACAGATTGCAACAGAAATGTGGTAGTTGTGAAAGTGAGAACTATAAGATAATATTGTGCAAACAAACAAATAAATAAACAAATAACGGAAAATAGGTTGCACTCAAAAGTCATTGTTGAGAAAAAACTAATAATTTGTATAGGTGTGTAGATAAAAATTTACATTAAATACTAGTAAATAAAAAATGTTTCCAAACACTTTAGAGCGTAATTTATTTGTCCTCACTCAACAGAAATTTGCATAAAACAAACAAATTATTGCATTACAAATTATAAACAAACTGTTTTTTAATAAATGGCAAGCCTAAACTAATTTATTACAGCAGTGAAACTGAAACTATATAAAATATATATAAATACATTTTTGGAAAACAAAAAATAGCATGTATATATTAATTACATATTCATTTTTAATAATTTAAAATGTTCTTGATAATTTCTGCTGTGACAAAAAAGCTAATTTTTATGTAAACTTATTACATCCTCAATGACAAGAACAAGAACTCTGCAAATGATCAAACTCAGCACCAGCTCACATTATGTAAATAAATGCAAAACATAAGAATCTTAACAGTTTTATTTACAAGACACTGCATTGCTCGCCTAGGTTCCTTCTCCAGAGAAAAAAATATATATAAATAGAGGGGGGTGACGATGAATCTCAAGAAGAAGTGATGTAGCTATTAAACGACTTCCTGCGCTGCTCGGTGGCTGGCGAGCTATAAAACCAACAATAGAAATGAGTTTAGTCTTGACTGGCTGGACGAGGAGACGTATAGCATGGACAGGCAGAATAATAAATAATAAAAACAGAGAGAGAGAAGAGAAGGAGAGAGAGGGACAGAGGGAGGGGTAATATCTACGGCTCATTGCAAGAGAAAGTGCTGACATGAGCTAAAAGACTGCAGACCCGGAGAGCATTCCTGCACAGATGCCCCTGAGATTGAGAAGAAGTGAGATAGAGTTTGTTCGGGGAGGTATCAGAAGGAGGGGAGACGTATGTTAGAGGGCATGTGGCAGGAAGTCAAGGTAGATTACAAAATGACAAAGCGACAAGGACAGTGGACTACAGGGTCGAGAGAAAAAGGCAAAAGTCAAAATTTCCACACAGCTGTACATACTGTGAAACAACAATAATACCGAGCACAAGTGAGGTGCACCATTACTTGGAAAATAGAGGGATGACGCAATGGAGCTGAGGAGGGAGAGAGCGGGCGAGCGAAGGAACCTTCGTCACTAGAATTCCAGTATAGGGAGCATATGCACCCGGAGTTCAGCGAGGGCATTTCCATGAGTGCCTCATATAGGGAGACAGGGGCGAGGGAAGGGGCAGGGCTTCTATATCTCAACACAGATAATCACTCCCAGCTGTGTCCACTGTAGCACCGCACACACATGTAAGGAGGGGCCAGGGTTCGCCTTTCACAGCAGCACCGAGACCTCAACAAGCCTCCAGCGCAGCAACAAGAGTGCCGTGTGGAACTACACTGGGCCTCGGGACACTGTATCTGGGTAGTTGACAAAAAACAACTTTTTTATTCAACATCAAGACTTTAAGTGAATGTATCAAGGATATTGTGTATATTTTAGGTGCTTTGGCCATTATCCCACTTTTTAACAAACTTTTTGCTTCTTTAAACGAGTAAACAAAAATATACAAAGAGGACTTGTTTTTAGTTGATTAGTAAGTGAAAACTGATTGTGAAAACTATGTTATGTACCAGAATAGAGTCATGTGACGTAAATGAGAGTTAGCAATAACAATAGTTAAATTGCTATTTGTGTAAACTGCCATTGGTGGCCTTGGTGATGTCATCAGAGATGGAAAGTCGTTTAAGGGGCGGAGCAAGTTACTTAAATCTGATTAAGAATTACGAAGAGTGTTTTGTTTTTTCCTCAGAATAACATGCACTGATTAGTGTGAATGTGTATTAAGAAATCCGGAATGTGTAAAACATGATATTCAATGAGAAAAAAAGGGGCGGTGCTTGATTGCAATCGATCAGTAAATGATTGGATTGTGAAAACTGTGTGTTAAGTACCAGAATGGAGTCATGTGACATGAATGTGAGTTAGCAAAAACAACGGTTAAATTGCTATTTGTGTAAGCTGCCATTGACCTTGATGACGTCATCACAGATGCAAAGTCGTTTAAGGGGCGGAGCAAGTTACTTAATTCTGATTAAGAATTACGAAGAGTGTTTTTGTTCTCAGAATAACAAGCACTGATCAGGATTGTGAATTAAGAAAGCAGGAATGAGTAAAACATGACATTCAACGAGAAAAAAGGGGTGGTGCTTGATTTTATCCATCAAGAACTGAATAGGGAAAAGTGTACATTATGAATCAGAATGAAGCCAGATGTGAAAGTTAGCTAAAACTGGCTGAATTGCTATTTGTTTATATTATCTAATATAAAGCACAGCCTTGGTGATGTCAGAGATGGAAAGTCGTTTGAGAGGTGGAAAATTTTATTTTATTTTGATTAAAAATGATGAAGATTGTTTTTTTTCTCAGATAAACATCAGATTAACACCGATAAGGAATCAGTATTAAGAATCAGGAATGAGTAAAAAAGATATTCAATGGGAAAAGGGGTGGGCCTTGATTTTTTTGGTCAGGAAGTGATTGGATAGAACAATGATTTGCTAAAACAATGAATTGCTATCTGTTTATATTATCTAATACAACACACGGCCTTGGCGATACCATCAGAGACTAGAAGTTGTTTAAGAGGCTGAGCATGTTGATGATTGGATAGTGAATAGGGCTGCATTATATTGGAACCCACATTGCGATATTTTGTTTTTCTGCGATATATATTGCGATATGAAAAAAAATAACTTGAATAGCACTATTTGGAAAAAAAATAAATGATTGGGGTGATATTGTAGGTGAGTAAATCAGTATAGAAAATAAACAAATTACAAGCATAGATAAATAGAACAAAGATACAAATGAACAGTGCTTAACTTTTTTCAATTAAGTCTAACAGTATTCAGGTACAGAAACTGAATAATCAAATGTAAAATATCACGGCAAAGTCTTCACTGTATAAATTAAATCTAAATTAAATTAAATCTAAATTTGAATTTACCTTCACCTAAGCCATAAGCAACTGTGTTTACAAGGATACTTGCAGAGGCATGCATTTTGATGTAATTTCGCGCGTATGTGTCATTAATAGACGCAGAAGTGAACGGAATTCTGAGTTCACGTGCATCTGCGCGGCTCTCACTGTGTCTACACTGGATGTGAGCTGCGCAGCACGACGCGACAAAAATACTATAGAACCCATTATAATCAGTGATGCTGTCTACACTGGATGTGGCGCGACACATGACAAATCCCCCACAGTAAACTGATGCCACGTTCTATTTATGACGAACTGACATGAAGTTCAAATGATTTGCAAAGGTCGCTTTGTCACGTCCAGTGTAAACAGACTTCAGCTGCGGCGCGGGGCGGCGCGACACAACAGATGTCGCATCCGGTGACACAGTGTCTGTGTGTGAGCAAAGAAAATTATAAGTATAAATATAACGGTCAGTATACTAAACATCGCATATCCTGCGATGTGACTATCGCGGATGCGCACATCGCGATATCGATGCTGAAATGATATATCGTGCAGCCCTAATAGTGAAGTGTCCGTTACATACCAGATGTAAGTCAAAAGAGTCAAATTTGATTGTTATTGTCTTTAAATCAAAGTACAGACATTTCATATGGTCTGTCAATTACTCATTTTATCACCAACAACATGTATAACGCACAATAACAAGAAAAATCTCTTTTCAAATGGTCTTAGATGAAGTATCCACAGCTTGACATTTGACAAATACCCATAAACAAGCCTCACAAG